TGGTTGTGTTGGCCATTTTATTTAATTTATCCTAATATTGAATTTTACATATCATGCCCTCAGTTGATCAAAACATGATCAAATAATTATTCCCTTAGTTAGGTCTACAGATTCACGAGTGCTAGAGCGAATCTAAGTAGCTAATACACTACTAATAATAGTGGTAATAGTAGTGGTTTAGCAAGAATTTATCTATCAATAAATATAATACATAAATTTACTGGTCTTAAAAGCTACGATTCTAATTGAATTAATGAATCAAAATTTTGATAATCAAATTGAACAGAACAATTTTAAGAAATTAAATGGATCAAATATAAGGTCATAAATAAAAGATAATAATTGTCCTATTTCTTTCATATTGAAATATTTATCTCTACAAATTAATCAAAACATATCTAATTTATGAAGTAATTCAGAGTTGTACTTTTGCTAGCTTAGGAGACTATGTTGTATTTTGAGGACCTCAATACCAAGGGGAAAAAAATTTGAACAACTTTGCTTAGTCTCAACTTATTGATAACTTTGTTACATGAACTACTAGGATCAAGAGGAATTAGTAGTGTATATTGGAGATCGAGTATTTTACTGGGTTTAAGGGATCCCATTTTGAGATTGGTTTTACATTATGAGATAACTAAGGGTGAGAGCATGTTGTATATATTATATGATTGTGATCAAAGATATGAGGATTATTGATTGAGGAGTATGTGAAGTGGAGTATGAAGATGTGAAGACTGTTGATGCGATTATGGAAGTGGTGAAGTTGTATTGGAAGTTTGCTTTGGAGGTGGGAGTTAACTAATTATCGGATTTGATGATTTGCAAGGAGAGATGCATAAGAGCGAAAGGTGTAAATTTATGGTAGGGTTCATATGGATTAATGTGTCAAGGTTGTGATTGTTTGGACATGTAAGTGGATTTGTTAAACACAACGTGATAAGAAATTATGATTTTGGCTATTATGGAATTGGAACAATTGTATCCCTTATGGTAGGTGGAGTATGTTAGGAATATGTGGTGGGAGAGCACTGCGCTAGTTTGTGTGGGGATTGTGTAAGAATCCATGATAAACATGAATAATTGAAAACTCTTATGTGGGAATAGTATTATTTTTTATTAGAGGTGAGCTAAGATGGTGACAAATTTTAGTATGTTAGGAAGGTACTCAATTGATTAGATAGGTTGTGATGAGAAGTGCAACAACCCAAACTTTTAAGTAAGTTTAATTTCAAGCATGAAGGTACAAGTAGTCTCAATAAAATGTTGATGTTTGTATGCTGGGGTGCAAGGATAACAAATTTTGTGGAGTATTTCATTATAGGCGAGGAATTTTTGGAGATTGAGAACAATTTTACAATCAAAGTAATTTACTATATTAGTTGAACTGAGTAGGAAATATGTTTTTGAATTGTATGAAGTTTTAGAATATTTAAGATTTATAGATGATTGGGTATATCTAGCAAAATTTAGAGTAATCATCAGTGAAAGATACATAAAAGTTGAAATCATAAATGGAGATAACGAGTGAGGGACTCACACATTCGAATGCATTAGCTCGAATTGTATAAGTGTAACTATTAGACCTGATAAATGAGATTATGTGACTCTTTAGGAAGTTACATAGATTACACAATAGAGAGCTGGTTTGGATAGATAAAATTTATTATTATTTTGAAATGGAAAAAAACTAAGGCTAAGGAGGGTTGACCTAAGTGCTTTTGCCATAGTACTGTTCTGATAGGTTTGGAGAGGAGTGTTATATGACTTGCAGTGATTGATGTGAAGCAATCATATGTAGTCCGTTTAGACATCGACTTAAGAGGAGTCTTCGATTGAACTTCATGACCCTAATTTGAAATCTGAAAGCATTAAAGAAAATAGATCAATTATTAACATTAATGAGTTTAGGTATGGAAAATGATTGTGAAATAGATTGGGAATGTGTAGGAGTTTTGATAGAATGAGCTTGCACTAAGGACTGGGTAGTATTCCTTGATCAGAGTTGGACATGGGTAGTGAAATTTCATTGTTAACCAACAATTGTTCATTTCTATAGTAAGTTATGAGGTTATTTATATGATTGATATCCATGGTCAAAAGCAATGTTGCTCTAGATTTGAGTACCCATTAAGAAGAATCGGATACGTGTGATGATGCATGCTGCAGAATAGGGGGATGTTAATATTAGTGCTAGAAATTGGATGTAGAATGATTGGGTTTGCCACAAGTTTGGCATATTACATCAGGATAACAAAACTGATCACCCATAGATGTGTGAAATGTTAGTACACCATGCTTATAGCTATTTATCAATAATTGTTTATGCTTTCTTCGGGAGGAATTGGAGCCATAGCCCTAAGATATAAACAAATCAATGTAATGATTGACAAGGGATAATTATTATATTTTGTTCCTCAATGATGTTTTAAGTCTTTGATATAGAGGAGAAAATATAATTCATCAAGCCTTATGGGGTTCAATTTGGCACAAATTACTATTTTTAATGCTTGGTAGATAGGAGGTTGTCAATTTAAGATATAGAAAATTACATCTTCATGATCAATTAATTTAAGAATAAGTTGTAATAATATTAATTGTTGATGCGTGGTTTAATTTTAGATAGCTATTAAGTCGTGAACTAACTTTTCATTAAAATGTTATTGAGCTAATTCTGTAGTTAAATGACCCTTGATCAATTTATGGACAGCAAATGGCATTATATGGTTTGTCAAATTTCCTTACAAGTATTGAGATTGAGGATATGGGGAAGGATTGGGGTTCAAATGGTTGAGTTTTTTTCAGCGATCATATTCTAAGTTATTAGAATACATGGCATGTAGTGTGAGTTGGGTATGGGTAAGCCTTGGCTATCATTCGTGGATCTATTGAGAAATTCGTTGAAGCTCTTTGTCTTGAATATTTTCAGTAAATTAGATATTTATACATAGTAATTTCTTGTTTTAAGCCTTGCATGAGATTGGAATATAAGAATTTTTAGGACAAGGAGATCATAATGTCACTCATAATGATGGCAGTAGGTTAATTGATTCCAGTTTCTTTTGTTTAAGAGGAATTGGAGTTGGCCAAGAAGGGGAGAGAGACTTAGAGATGAGAAGAAGAGATAACATTTGATTGCTATAAAGTAACAGGCTCTAATGTCATAAATAATGTGTAAAGATAAAGGAGGAGAAGAGGAAAGAAGAACAAAGAGGATAGTAGAAGTTTTCCTCTTCAATCTCGGCATTGTTTGAGGCGGCTTTCTTATTATTTCTTAAAGCAGCTTCTAGTACAAAAAGCTGCATTAAGAAACAATAAGAAAGTCTTTTCAACCAAAGCATTACTTAGCATGATACATATATCTATTACATACAGTAGAATTCCATACGCATAATTACAAAGGTATATTGTCGACTGATGTATTATCACTTATAGAATTAACAAGCAGGATGCAATTAGTCTTTTATGGTGAGGACGACTTAGATGGGTAGAGCCCAAGAGTTGAGCATGCAAAGAGCAACGCAAGTGACAGAGATGGCTGATTTGGTTATTGTAGTATTAAATGTGTCAGTAAGGTCTCAAATCCAAAGTCTCTTTATTGGAAGCCTAGACACTTGGATAAAAGACTATTGCTTTGTTTTTCAGATGTCAATCACAGTTTCTATTTAAACAAATTTTTTTTCTTTCAAGAAATTTTTTATATTAGAAAGCTACTTTCTACAATAACTTTCAAAAAATTAATTTCTCCATATCAACATTATAACCCCCTTTACAAAAAGTTGTAATTTTCTCAAACATAATTAAGATGAGATGTTATAATTTTTTTACACTTTTTTATTGATTTATATACCCTAGCCACAAAGTTTTGTCCAAATAAATATATTTCGCTCATAGAAAATAATTAATCTATAAAAAACAATGGGAGCTGTCGCACATTATAAGTGAGTCAAGTCAACTCGTGAGTTGGCTCAAGCTCAGCTCCATAAATGACTCGTGAGCTGAGCTTGATAAACTAATGAGTCAAGCTTGTTTCTTCCTCTATTCGACTAGTTAGCTTATGAGTAACCTCATTTAATAAATATTTCTCTAAAATATACTTAAGATATATTATAATTGAGGAGTTTAATTATAAAGTTTTTAAAAATATTTAAAATTTATATATTATTTTCTTATATCAAATAATTCTCTATTATTTATCTTCTAATTTCACTCATTTTTATAATTTTACTATAAAATATATATGAATCATAATAACTTCCTCTTTTTAATTATAATTGAGCCAGCTCGAACTAAGATCAAGGTCAAATTAAGAGTGACTCGAGCATGGCTCTGACTCGTTTACACCCCTACCTCTTGACACTTTCCTCGAAGATGGATTCACGTGGCCATTAATCATTGTTATATGATTTAATTAATCTGAATTAATTAGAGTCCCAAAGAAGCCGCAACAGGAAGGAAAAAGACTAGTTAAAGATGAGTTCCAATTAATCTAATTAATAAATATTAAAAAAAAAATATTATTAAGATGTTGAATTAAATCTCCACTATATTAACAGTGCATTAGGGTTAGCTTTTTCAAATCTTTAATTTTAATAATTTTATTTAGATACAATTCATTTAATATTTTACTAAATTTTTATTACAATTTAAGAAAAAATTTAAATTTCAGATCTTATATGTATGAATTTAAAATTATGATTTATTTAAAATCTTAAAAGATGAAAATTAAAGCTATTGTCCATTTTTTCAAAAATAAAAAGAAAATTTTCATATCTTTTTAAAAAAATATTTTTTTTTCTTATAATATTTTTTTCCGAAAGAATTATAAGAAAACTTTCATATCATTCTTAAAAAGTATTTTTCTTGTAAGAATTATTCATTGATCATAAATGGGTAAAAAAACAAAAGACAACAGCGGGCATTCCACATTCTCACGTAATAATCTCTTCAGATAGGGCCGGCCGTGTACGGCCTGAATCCCACTTTCTCACTCAGGCCGATCTTCAGCTATATAGCGGCCCCACCCACGCTCCTGCAACGAAGAGAAAAAGAGCGGAGGAAGCGAAAGAAAGGAGCAGCTTTTGGGCAATCTCTTGAGCAACGTTCAATCCTTCCAGTTGGGCCGAAGGATGGTTCGGGTCTGCCGATGGATACTCCGGGACCGGTCGAGAAGGTACCGCCGCGTCGAACGTCATCGATCGCAGTTGCTTGCGCCTGCGATCAGTGTACTCCGGTGGGTCCGCTATCTCAGACACAGAAACTGCGTAGCTTCGATCAGCGGTGGCGGCGATGAAGGGTTTAAGAGGCTTCTGTTAGCAGGGGAGGAGAGCCCGACTCCGAAGGGGTACCTGGCGGTGTACGTCGGCGGTGGAGAGGAGGATGAGCCGCCGCAGCGTTACTTGGTTTCTGTCTGTCATTTTAATCATCCGCTTTTTGTGGAGCTTCTCAGGGAGGCCGAGGAGGAGTTTGGGTTTCACCATCCGCGCGGAATAACTATTCCTTGTCCGGCGTGGCGCTTCGAGCGGATTCAGACGCGGATTGCTGCCGGCTGTGCGGTGGCTCGCCGGAAAAGGGGTTGCCGGATTTTCTAGTGGTTGTGACACATATTGGTTACGGTCCGCCGCAGCGTTACTTTGTTCCTTTCTTGATGTTATCCATTCTTAGATGGCTTTAGCTTTTAATATAAACTCTGCTAAAAATTTTGCTATTTTCCCATTGGAACTTCATGAAGTTTTCCAACTGCGTTAGAACTTGTGGCTGTAACTGGTAGTTGATTAACTATTTTGTTGTGAATTCCACGTTGAAAAGTGACCGTTGAAAACTTCATGAAGTTCGTGCATGTAAAATTTCAATAATAAGCTTCAGAGTCTATAGAGGTATGGTATCTTTGTCGAATATTTTTTGCCCATAGCGAATGATTGTGGGATTTATTAATCCGTAGGGAGTCTGGATTTCGTCTAAAGTTCAATAAAAATGCAACATTTAAAAAATATATCGTATTCGGTATCACTCGGTATTGTGCTCAATACAGAGCGTAATTGGACGGTTCTCCCATCCGGTGTCCGCACAGAATAATCTCTCTCATTGTGGTGCTTTAATGGAAGGGTGGAATGATTATATATGCATCAAGTCTTCGTTTGGAACAGCTTTATTACTACTTCTTAAAGAAGCTTTTCAATACAAATTTTTTAAATTTTGTACTAAAAAATAACTTTAAAAAGCACTAAAAACGGTCTCAAACTAAGCCTAAAATGTTGTTTCGCACAATTACTCGATATAACATTTTGTATGTGTATATATATATATATAAACAAATTTAAAGTCAAACTAAATGGCTTGATGAGACAAATCCAACCATATTAAAAGTGACCAAATTCAAGTCCAAATGAGCCTAAATCACGAGCTTAAAGCAATATCAATATTTAAAATTTTGAAATAGTAATTGGGGAACTAAATAATATTCAAATTTGACATGCTTATGATCAAATCGAGTGTCTCGGTGAGACTAATCTAACATGCCTAAGATCATTTAATCTAGCATCGTTAAGGCATTTAAATGCTAAAAAAATAATTTATGATAGAGATAATTTATACATGTCGTCCAATAGTGTGCTAGTTTTTAGCCATATTATTGCTCTATAAAATCTATAAATAAGCCTACACTTTCTGATATTTATTGATTTCTGCGAATTCTAAGGGTGTATTAAATTTTCTGATTGAATTTTAGAGAAAATTTTAAAAGAGTGGAAGTCATCGTTTGGGAACCATATATGTCATCATAACGCTATCATTTGGCACTATGATGCTCATCTATCTATTTTCAGCAAGAAAATTTGAGGCTTTTGGGCGCTACAGTGTTGAAACTTTGGCAACATTGTACAAGGGAAAATATTTAATATAAATATCCAAATCCACCTTTAAAATCCATTTTAATTTTATTTATTTCCTTTGGTCAGAGAAGAGGATACGACAAAAAAATAGGGAAGAAATAAGAGAAGCTTGGACTCAGAGATCTTAGAGTCAATTTTGTTTGTCTGACCGGTTAGAAATATTATTTAGCGTAAGGTAGATTGTTGTTACCCAACTTCAGATTTTAATTTTGTAGCACTTATGTAACTTTTAGTATATTATAGAATAGAATATTTTGATTATATTTGCCTGTATAAGTTTATTTTTAATCAAATATTTTTAGTTATATGATATTTTAGACATTTTAACAAATATATTGACACTTATAAATTTGCTATAGAATAATAAAAGCTTCAAAATATTACTTTGAATATTACATATGAGAAGTTCTATGATTGTATAAATATTTCTATACTCATATGTTTGAAAATGTGTGAGAAGGGGGAGAAAGAGAATAATGCAGATAGGGGTGTCAATTTCGGGTCATGGGTCGGGTTCGGGTCGAACCTTCCGGGTTGACCCGGCAACCCGTCGGGTCAACCCGAACCCGACCCATTTTTCAAACGGGTCGGGTCCAACTCGGATTTTCCGGGTCGGATCCGAGTCGGATTTTGTGTCGTGTCAAATATTGACAACCCTAAATGCAGGTGATTGGTAGTTAATATTTTATGTGCATTCTAGTAAAGATATAAGGGCTTTTGCATCTATATATCTGATTATCCATCCAAGTATTTTATTTTATATGTTTGAATATATGTGATATGAACAATTAGAAGTATAAGTGAAAGTAGAGGTATAAAAAGCAAAGATGAAATATAAATAAGTTGATAAGTATAAGTGGATGTATAAGAGATATATGAAGAAGTATGAGATACTTAAAATGAAGTGTTAAATATTATTTACTTCCATGTTATTTTCATTTCTAATATCATGCTCAAATAAATGCTAATTGTTGCTATTTTTAATATTTAGCTGTTGTTGGCACTGGTTTTTTGCTTACACAAATTTAATTGGTTCAAGTCAACCTAAATATCTTTTTAGTTCACTATAAACATATTTTCATATGATATTATACCGGCATACTATGTGAATCCCTTCTGTCAAAAAAGGATATTAGTTATAATTGTTGACAAATATTAGTGAAATTTTTTTAACTAGACTAGACCCCATAATTTTTCCTTTTCCTAGGATTTCATGTAAAAAATATGAAATCTCTTATAATTTTTATATCCGTCTTTTATCTATGTGTATCATGAATCTTTTTGCAAAACTAAGATATTAAAGTATATTCTTTTTCTACCACCGTAAATGTTCTCACACGGATAAAAAAAAGATATTTCTTTAATAATTTTTATAATAAAATTATGTATAACATTATTATAAAAAAAAAATTTGTATAACATTATTATGACCATGTTGATCATATGATATAATTTACATTACTTTTGATTTATATATATTCTGTTGAATAAGTGAGATCATATGTTTTAATTTGATTTATTTAGAGATGATATTGTATAATAGTGATTGTACCATTCGATCTTCATCATTTATTTTGAAATGAATGGGTTGTACTATATTTTAATGATTCATTTGGAAATTGATCTGCACGATCAATGAAAAGTCAGTATGATCATGTAATTATTTGAATTTTATAATTGATGCTTCATCGAAAATTATTTTGATCCAGCACGAATCTCAATATATAATTAAGTTGAAAACTTTCAAAAATAAATTTAGGATCATCTAAATTTCAATTTCAACAAACTTATAGTCAAACTGAACATCTCAAAGAGATGAACCTAACGACACCAAAATCGGTCCAACCCAAGCCCAAATGAGTCCAAATCGGGGGCCCGGACCACATTTGGAAAGGTCAAAGAATCATTTAGATGACAAAATGATATCCAAATATGACATGCTTATAATCAAATCGAGCAGCTCAGTGAGACGAATCCAATGAGCACAAGATCACTGAATTCCGACATAATTAAGGCACTTAAATAGTTGAAAAATCTATACGATCGGGAGAAACAATATGAGTCATTCGATGGAGCACTCCGAACCTGCCCCAAATCTTTTCTGTATTTACAGGATATGTTACTTAGAAATTCTTTAAATAGACACTCACTCTCTACTTGAAGAGGACCTTTGGGCTAGAGATTGGAGAGAGCTCTAAAGCTTCAATAGCTCTAGCACCACCGCCGGTGAACCCCCATCAACTGTAGTCGGACCACCGCTCCACCGTCGATCTCCGTCACACCTCCACCAGGCCCCCGATCGCCCCGGACTTCTGCCCAACAGCCCTCGACGACTGCCCGGCTGCTGACCACCACCGGACTTCAACCAAACCTCTATCAGACCACCACCCGCCCGTCGACTTCCTCTGGACTACCAACCGGTCGTTGACCACTGTTGGACTTTAGCCCTACCGTGGTCGGACCACCGCTGGACTGCCTACGACTTCAGCACGACCGACGTCGGACCACAGCCTAGCCACCACCGTCACCGGACTTCAGCACGTCTGTCATCGGACTAACCCATGGCCGTCGACTAATGCTAGACATCCACCCGACCAACAATCGCCGCCGGACTTCAGCCAAACCACCCTTAGGCACACGCCTGGCCGCCAACAGAGTTCAGCCTGATCATTGTTGGACCAATGCTCGGCCGCTGAACGCTACCGGACATTAGCCCGCTGTCATCAAACCACCACCCGGAAGCTGACTGCCGCCTGACCTCCACCCGGTCACTGATCACTACTGGACTTCATCCCGACCGTTGTCAGACTACCGCCCGGCTGCTGACTGCCAATGAACTTTAGCCCCGACCTCCCTCGAACCACCACCTGGCTGCAGACCACAGCTGGACTTTCACCTGGCCACTGACCGTCACCATACTTTAGCCTGACCACCGTCAAACCATCGCTAGGCCGCCAACTATCATCTGACATCAGCCCTATCGCCATTGGATCAACACCCGGCTGCCGACCGACACCATACTTCAGACTGGCCACCGTCGAATCACCGAGGCAATTGATTGCCTCTGAACTTCCACTGGTCTCCGACCGTCTTCAGACTCAACCCAACTATGGTCAGACCACCACGTGCCTTTATCCCAACCATCCTCAGACCATCGCCTGGCCGCAGATTGCCGCCGAACTTCAGTCCGACAACTGTCAAACCAACGCCCGTCCACTAACCGTCACCAGATTTTAGCCTGGCTGCCGTCAGACCATCACCCAAATGCCAACCGTCACCGGACTTCCACCCGGCTATCGACCATCGTCGGACTTCAGCCCAACCGTAGTTAGACCATTGTCCGGACGCCAACTGTCACTGAACTTCAGCCCAACTGCCATCGAACCACCGCCCAAATGTCGATTGCCGTCAGACCATAGCTCGACCGCTCACGGACTTCAGGCCGACCATCTTAGACCCCCGCCTGGCCTCAGATCATCGCCGAACTTCCACCCTACCACTAACCACTCTGAACTTCAGCTTGACCACCATCAAGCCACTGCTCAGCAGTTGAACACCATTGGATTATAGCCCTCAGACCACTACCCGGATGCCGACCACCACCGGACTTCCATTCGGATGTCGACCATCGATCATTGTTAGACTTCTGTCGGATCACCACCGGACATTAGAGTTCTGTCTGACCACCACCTGACGCCGTAGTTCTGTCGGATCACTACCTGATGCTGAAGTTCTACCAGACCACCACCTGACGCAATAGTTCTACCAGACCACCATTTAATGGCGGACTTCCATCAAGACCACTGCTAGATGCCAGACTTCCGTCGAACCTCTACCTGACATCGAAGTTCTGTCAGGATCACCACCTGACGCCAGACTTCTATTAGACCATCGCCTAACACCGGAGTTCCTCCTAACCACCACTGGACCACCGATTGAGGCCCGAACTTTCTCCAAACCACCGACAGAAGTCAGAGTTCCACTAAACCATTAAATAATGCTCGG